GTCAGGGGCCGCCCCGCCTCGGGCACCTCGGGTCTGGACGCCCGAGATGGGCACGGAAAGAATGGGTACGATGCCCAACAGCAGTTCCTGTTCATTCTGAACAGGATTCGCTGTCCACGCCGCCGCGGCCTGTGTCCATTCGAGACAGGAGGCCGCCTTCCCAACAGCGGCCGCTGTTGGTTTGGGACAACATTTGTTGTTGGGCATTGTACCCATTCTTTCGGTACCCATTTCGGGTGTCCAAATCGGGGGGGGGGGGGGGCGGGCGCGGCCTGCTCCTCTGGCGCTGGGGCCTACGTCCGGGTATCGCTCGGACGTGTGCACCCTCTCCCGGCGGGGGTGACGAAGGAGCATCCTGGATCATCCTGCGGGGAGAAAAAAAAGCGCACGAAACCGATAGCAGACACAGGGAGTGGACGTTCGAGCGATGGCCAGACATCGTCGCCGCCGCCGCCGCCACCGTGGACGTCGAGGAGGAGACAGGCTCAGGGGGGGGCGGGTGGAGACTCTCTTCCCCAAAGCGCCGGCAGGCCACAATCCTCCCCCCGCGACAATCATGCTCAGCACAGCAGCCTCGTCGTGCAGGTGTCTGCCTTCTGAACTGCGCATGTGTCTGTAGGCGGCCGTGAAATCAGCACTGAACTCGAGGCCGTTCCCGTGACAGTGCTTGGCGGCTTTAGCCCAGATCTGTCCTTCAAGTGAGCCTCTTAGATCAACATCGAACAGCTTTTCGGGATCGCAATCTCTCAGGTCGAAGGTGGCCCCGTCAGACCTGTCAATCCAGATCCACGTCTCAGGAGCATCCCTCGAGAGATCTTGCAAGCAAGCAGTGACAGCCGTGAGGGGATCCCAAACGTGGCTCCACCAGCGCTTTCCAGTGAGAAGCTGAGTCCAGGCCTAGCTCCACCCGGCCTGCAAGGGTCTCTCGCTCGTGCGCAGTACATTGGGGAGAAGCTCGCACCGCGATCGAACATCTTCCAAGCGTCCGAAGATCAAGGGATCGCGATCGGTGCCCACCATCAAACTGATGGCAGTGGTCGAGCAGCCCTCCTCGTGCCTGGCTCCCGGCAGAGCCGCAACCTGCGCACGCAGACGTAACAGCACCGCGGGAGCGAGGCCCACACGTTCGGGCCCCCACGTCTCGAAGAAAAACAAAAACACATACGGTAGGTTTGCGTCGTGTCGACCAGCGGCGACTCCAGCGCGGGCGTTCAAGGTTGAACGCCGCCGGCGACCCAGAATCGATCGATGGTGAACGATCGGACGTTACGGCAGCGGCCGATCGTTCAAGGTTGAACGATCCCTGCGGTGTCAAAAACCAACGCTGGGGTCGGCACGACACGAACCTGCCGTAAACATCAATTTTGGCGCTCCGCGTGCCAGGGAGGGGGGGCCCAGCGCGAGTCCAAGAAATCCGCGCGGAGCGCCAAAAGTTTATGTTTATGTGTTTGCCTCTTCCTCTCACGTCGCCTGTGGCAAGAAGCCTGTGCGTCCCAAAGCCCGAGCCCTGGGCGCCATTTTGACCGCCTGGGTGAGCTGCATCGGGTGGCAGTGGCGTCCAGTCTGAGTCGGGCCTGTCCCTCTACAGGAGGAATGTTCAGAAATAGTCAAAAATAGTCAGGGGACGATGTTTTCAGTATTGCTGAAAATTTGTAAGTATTTTTCGACTGTACATATATGATATTTCTCGTCCCACATCCGCCTGTAGGGGGACACGCCCGACCTAACCCAACTCTTAGGCGACCGGATTGGCTTGCACATTCAGAACGTGAACGGAAAGGGCTGACCGAATCTCGGTGGCCAATTGCCTGGGACAACGCACGAGGACACGCTTGCTAGAAGCCTTGAGGCCCCCGTTGTATGGCAAGGTTCCCACAACTACTTGTCGACCCGCAGCGACTTCGATCCGCTGAGAATAGTCGTCCACCCACGTATCTGACTTGAGGGGTCTGACCGAGTCGTGCAGGTCCCTCCTGGTAGCAGAGCGGATGGACATCCCTAGGAACAGTTCAAACATAGGGTAGCCCGTGACCTGAGCCGGCCTGAGAATCTCCCCCCAAGTCCCCCCTCCCTCTCCTCCTCCTCCTCCTCCTCCTCCTCCTCCTCCTCCTCCTCCTCCTCCTCCTCCTCCTCCTCCTCCTCCTCCTCCCCTCCTCCTACCACAGGATCTCGGCCCAGGAAAACCCCTGGACCGTTGAAATCTCCAGCTCCAGCTGACACGCAATGGCTGCTCTGAGCGCTGAGCTGCCTCTGGCCGCCTTGTCCCAGAAACGAGCCCCACCCGCTCCCACCCTCTCCCACCCTCTCCCACCCTCTCCCACCCTCTCCCACTCCGCATCACGGACCAACAGCGGAAGCTGCCTCGCCCTCCTCCGCCTCCTCCTCCTCCTCCTCCTCCTCCTCCTCCTCCTCCTCCCCCGACACCCCTCCCCTCCGCATCACGGACCAATAGCGGAAGCTGCCTCGCCCTCCTCCTCCTCCTCCTCCTCCGACGGCGAAGAGGCACCGCGGCAGCGTCGGTCCTCCTCCTCTTTTTGGAAAATTCTGCTAACGGAGTTCCCCACATAAAGATATTAACGGTTCCGTGGGACCCATGGGGTACGACAGCATCAACACGAAGGAGAAGCTCATCGATCGAGTAAGTACGCACGAAAGGGCAGACGGAAGAAAGGAGGAGGGAGGACAGGTGCTCAGGAAACGAAGCCTTGTAAATAGTACGGTTTCGTGATACCCTCCTCGCTATGGCGGGGCCCCGCTGGAAGGGGGAGGGCTACGAAACCAGGTAAGGAGTGATGCTTTCCGCGACCCTCCTCGTTCAAGCGCGGCCTCTCTGGAGGAATGGAGGGGGGGGCACGAAACCGTCTAAACTGCATTGTTTTCCGATACCCTCCCGGAGGAGGAGGAGGAGGAGGAAGAGGATCAGTTGGATGATGGTGTAGAGCAGCAGCAGGAACCGCAGCAGGAGCACCTCGTCGTCTTCCTCCTTCTCCTCCTCCTCGTCCTCCTCATCCTCGGCATCATCATCATCATCATCATCATCATCATCATCATCCGTAGCCATTTTGGCTCAAGGGCAGATGTCTGGTCTCATGAGGCTGGCTCTAGCCGTCGCGCCCATTCTTGGGTCAGATTCCCAATCTTCCAAGCTTTCAGTGTGGCCCTTGGGGCCACAGCTCTTTCCATATTACATCACCGACACCCGGCCCCAGTCGCCCGATTGGGGGCCCAGCCGCGGCGGGCTCGACCAATGGCAGGACGAGGAGGTGGTGCTCGAGGAGCCGCGCGCGGCGGCGGCGGCAGAGCCAGTAGTGGCCGTGGACAGCGGGGCGGCCAAGCTCCAGGCGCGGGCGGCAGCGGTGCAGCGCCCAGGGTCTGGGATTGCCCTCAGTGCGGAGCCAAGAAGAATTGGGGCTCTCGGCATGTCTGCAGGAGTTGCGGCTACGACTGGTGGGAAAGCGGTTCTGGTACGAGTTCTTGGTGGAGTGGCATGTCACAACTGGACGCCAGAGAACGCCACGAGCTCAACCAGTTGCGGAGGAAGGTCAAAAAGTTGGAGACCAGCAGCCAAGCAGGACCAGGAGTCGATGGCGGTGGCGCTGGGGCGGCAGGCGTCGGGTCGCAGCCTGACGACAAGTCAGAACGTGTCCGCCGATTGGGCAAGCTACGAAGTGAGATCAAGAAGATCGAGGGCGTGGACGGCGCGGAGGCCATTCTCGAATCCAAACGGCAGGAGGCGCAGCAGTTGGAAAACGAGCTGGCAGCAACCGAGCCTACATCAGTCCAGCTCAGTGAGTTGGAGCGCAAGCAGAAGAACCAGGAGGCCACCACGGCGGCCTTGGCGAGCAGGATCTCGGCGGCGGACAAGCAGCTCGCTGAACTACAGGCCCACAAGCTCGAACTGGAGGGCAAACACGCGCAGAGTCAGGCCGGCGAGAAGGAGCTCCAGGCGCTCATCGACAACCTCCTGGCGCAACAGCTCCGCGAGCGTGAAGCACAGCAGCGGGAGGAAGGGCCGCGAGGGACGGCTGCCCCAGCGTCCCCAGGCGCCCAGCTCAGCGAGGGTGAGCGAGCCACCGCTTTCCTCGCCGCTCTTAATCAGTGCTCAGGCATGCTCGCCCCTGGCTTCGCTGAGCAATGGGACGGCCAAGTCGCAGAGTTGCGGCGTCTGGCACAGCGCGTTGCCGCAGCAGGTGCCGCGGCGGAGCGTGACGGGAGCGGCGACGAGCAGGAGATCGACGAGAAGGACGTCGACGTCATCTTGGACTCCCTGGAGGAAGAGGCCACCGAGGAGGGGGCAGCAGAGGCCGTGTCGGGCGAGGTGGGCAACGGCGAGGAGGCAGGCGACGCGGCAGGCAAGGCCGCCGCAGCCGCCGCCATGCGCAAGCTTCGTGCCCAGAAGCTCCTCCAAGGACTCCGCTCCGCGGGGATCCGCAGAAGGGGGAAGCGGGGGTAGCCGCCCTCACTTCACCATCGTGAGCCTCAACGGCAGTGGATGGGGCCCTTTCGCCACCATCCTCGGCGAGCAGCGGGGCCCACACCAGCAGGCGGTGGCGGAGGCGCACCTCGGCGACGCACTGTGCATCCAGGAGCACCACCTCAACGGCTACCGCGCCGTGTAGCAGGAGCAGTGGTGTCGTCAGGTTGGCTGGAGCGCCGTGCTGACCCCAGGGGTGAGCTCGGTCGGCGCAAGCCTCCAGCGCGCCGTCAGCAGCGGCACTGGCGCGGCCGTGCGCACCTCGCGTGGCATGTGCGGGCCAGGCGCGGGCGGCAGCAAGGACAGCTGCCACGCGGCCGAGGGCCGCGCGACCATCGTGCACATCAATGGCGTCGTGCCTGGAGGCTTCCTGCTGGGCTCGGTCTACCTGGACAACGACGACGTGGGCGAGCACAGCCAGGGCGTCTTGCAGCAGGTTGGAGCCACGCTGAAGTGCACTGGCAAGCCCTGGGTCCTGGCGGGGGACTGGGACGTCGAGCCTGACAGGTTCCACCTCCGCGCGGGG